AAGTAGATAGAAATCTTGGAGACATAGGAGTAGGCAGAGAATTCATGAACTAAATGCAAACTGCACGGAAACATTTCAAAGAATCAACAATTTGGATCTCATGTTATTGAAATATTTCTGCCCTTCAAAAGAAATCACCAGCAGAGTGAAAAGAAAACCCACAGAATGGGAAAGAATTTTAGCCAGCAACCCCTCAGTCAAAGGCCTTATATCCAGGATGTATAAAGAATTGAGAAACATCAAGCCCCCAAATTCAAAGATGCTCACTAAAAATGGGCATCTGAGATGAACACACAGTGCTCAGATGGTAAATAAAAACACGAAGAAATGTTCACCATCACTGGCCATTCAAGAAATGCAAATTAAAACAGAATTGAGATTTCATCTCACCCCAGAAAGAATAGCTGCCATCAAGAAACCAACTGATAACAAATGTTGGCGAGACTGAGGGGGAAAAGGAACACTGCTCCATTGTTGGTGGGAATGTAGACTGGTGCAGGATCTCCAGTATGGAGAATTCTCAAAAGACTAGGACTGGACGTTCCATTCAATCCAGCTATTCCCCTCCTGAGTATTTTTCCAGAAAAACTGAAAAGGTCCTATTACAGTGATATATGTGCACCCATCTTCATAGTAGCACAATTTGTAATAGCTAAATCTTGGAAACGGCCAAAATGCGCATCAACTGTAGAGTGAATGAAGATGTGATATTTTTATATAATGGAATATTACTCAGCAATAACAAGGATGATCTTGAGACCTTCATAGGTAAATGGTGGCAACTTGAGACTATCCTCATAAGTGAAATAAATAAATAAGAATCATATTTATAAATATCACATTGAGTCTCTCATGTAAAAAGAAATAAAAACTGTAGGAATAATAAAACCCAAAATATGCAATTGCTGTTGTAAAAAAGAGAGGAAAAGAAAGTGCTCTAAAAGATATAATGACATATATGTTTAAGTGTGTAAGGTAGGAAACCATGTTACTAAGTTTTTGTTGGATCATTGAACAAAACTGTTCGCAGTCTCACTGTTTGATTGTCCACTTTGTATGTTTTGTTTGTAACTTGAACAACTATTTCTAAGATGACAGTATGTAATTTATCAACTAGTGATCTCATACTGTATTTTTTCTGAAATTCTGTACTATGTCTATGCTTTTTTCTGTTTTGCTTTTTTCTCTTTAAATAAAATTTTAAAACAAGTATTTTACATAGAAAATAACATTTTAATTTGAGCATTTGTCTAAAAGCTTGTTGACTGTAAATGATAATTTTATTCCATGTAGTTTATGCTGGTTTCCCATAAATAACCAAACTCAAATTACAGAAATGTTGCTGTCTCTTCTAAATTATCCGCAAATACCCCTTTTCTCCAGAAAAAAACTAATTCCTATGAGAAAGTAGCTTTAATATGCTCTCAAGATTTCAAACATTTATAGCAATTTTTAAATTTCTATTAATCTTTCTTAAAATATAAATCCTATTATCCATTAAAACTTCCCTGTATTTCTCCCTTACATACTAGGATTACTATGTGCAGTAAACTTAACACAGAAATTTAATATTTCATGTAAAAGCATCACCTAAAATTTATCCTACTGTTTATTAAACATACCTCTCCTTTCCTAACTGCTTCCTTCTATAGGAGTAGAATTTCTTCCTCAAAAGACTGGAAAGAAGACTCGAGGACTGCTACACCAGGGGAAAAATTCAAGCCAGAAGACAGAGGTAAATTTGTTCTTTATACTTAGATAAATGTAGTTACATTTAAAACTCAACAATTTATCAATTAATAAATTCTAATTTCACATAATCATTTTTCTTGTGTTTTACATTCTGTGTTTTTTGAATAAAGAAAAAAAGTCTTCATATCATTTCATGAGGCAGTCAACAAAAATTTATTAATGGTAGTACATACAGGATGCTGGTCTAAGTCCTGAGAATAGAATACTGCAGGCCCACATTTAAGATGCTAATTATAACCCAGAGCTGTTCAGAAAAACTCTCTGTGATAAAGTATTCTAGACCTGTACTCTCTAATACAGCAGCCACTAGCTTCATATGGAGCAGTTGAATATATAGAATATGACAAAAATGAGGAAATCTTGTCTTGATTAACTTCTATTTAAATGTACATAGCTACATCTGGTTTATGGACATTGAAACACTTGCGAATATTTAATATTCATTGTGGCTTATAAAAGCAATATTTTATACACAGTCATAAAATTTGTTTTGAAACTATTTTAATGTACTTGGAAATACTTTTGAGATCATATTAAATTCTTTACCTATGCCTAGTAAAAAACTTTGTGAAAAGATACTAATACACTCCGGACTTTTTTTTAAATCAAAAATGTTTGTTGCTCAAAGCTTTTATTTATAGAGCAGCTTTATTTCTGATTTTTTTCTTTACCTTGTGTGTACAGAGAAAAAAATGTAAATATTAACTTACCATATTTCACAGGGCAAATGTTGAGAAAAGATTAATATGTTAATATTTACAATCACAATTAAATTGTATATATGATATGATTATTATAAATCTGCACATTTGGCTCTAAAACCCAGCAATGGCATAATGAGAGAGATTTATTGTAATTAAGTGTTTATATTAAAAGTTGGAGGTAGTTGCTTACTTAGTCAACATGAAATAGTAACTGTGATGGCTTATGGAGAATATTGCAGAAATATTTACTGTAATGAATTAGTGGTGCCCCAAGTTATATACACTTGCATCATTTATTTGAGAATGCTATTACTGGAATATAATAAAAGACAGCTTATGCAATGAACAACTCTGTGAAACACATATAAGCCAAATCCAAAATGTTTTGATTGTGTGTTAATTTGTTTGTGTGATTCAGACTCAAGTCATAAAATTTATCATAGAATGAATCATAAATTACCTGAAGAATACAGTGCTTAATGAGTACATTTTTATGGAAGCACAACTATCAATTTAAAGTGCTGAGGATGCTTTAGAATTTGACAAAAGAAAATAATAGATTCAAAAATAGCAAATTAAGGACCAGACAAGAGAAAATCACTTTAACGCATTAAAGTAGAAACACCTGTTTCTCAAGAATTTCTGTCAGGAAGGATGCAGAGAATTTTTGACAAGCGCATGAGATTAGAAATAGAGACTTGCATAGCTGGTCTTACTGATGTGTGCCTGTAATACCAGCACTCTGGGCGTCTCATACGGGAGGAATGGCTGTTTAAGACCAGCTTTGGCAACTTAGCAACTATGTGAGATCCTATTTCTAAGAAATAAAAATTGCTAGGGGCTGGGGATTTAGCTCAGCGGCATAAGCACCTGCCTTGAAAGCAGGCAGTCATGAGTTCAATCCCTGGTACCGGTAAAAAGGAAAAAGACAAAAAAAAAAAAAATTAAAAAAAATAAAAATAAAAATTGCTGGTGACGTAGGTCAGTGCAAAGGTTCTGGATCCAATTTCTAGTACCGGAAAAATAAAGACACAGAGACTGTGCTACCGCTGAATTTACATTTCTAACCATGCTGTGACTATTATGTAACACCACCATCCAGCGGAAAATCATTGTCTTCATTTTTCAAAGGAAGTGAAACGAGGAATGTACTCATCGTGTTTTCTTAATGCAGCTTTACTATTTCACTCCTACCCTCAACTCTTTGGTGACCTTGTCTTTTTTGACACTTTATATACATGTATTCTTGTTGATGTCATGTTTTGAAAAAATTCTCTAATAGGCAGAAATTCCACAACGATAGAGCCTTTATCTCTCTTCTTTACTTTATCTCCAAGTGGGAGCATATTACCAGGAAAGGAATAGGCTGTGTCCACACTTTGTCATAAATACAGTAGATGGATAAACATCCAGGATGATACCTGTGTTAACAGTAAGTCATATTATTCCAAAAGTGTGAACCAGGAATCACCAGTATGTCTCACTAAAGGAATTAATTTATATTAAAACTAAGTAAGTAGAACTTGCAAATTGTTATTACTTCTGTTCAAAGCTAAGTAAAAAGTTATTATCTAATAAGATTGAAGAATATTGTGGTTTTTTCATCTTGAAACCATCTGAGGGTATCCAGTATTTATCTAATGTATTCATTATGATTTGTTTTCTTATAGAATAAAACACAGGTCTAATTTAAAAACAAAGCTCATGCTTTTCATCTAATAAATTGTACTTTGTGTGAAGGTATTGGTTTTCATAAATAGTTTATTAAAATATCTGTCCTTGAAAGTTTTCAAATAAATTTATTTGAAATACATTGAATTGTAATAAACTGTTTTTAAAAAGCTAATTCAGTTTTCTAAAATAGTACTATTAGTGAGACAATGCAATGTTTATACATATGAGTCTGATTTATTTCATTTATGAATATGGTCTCAAGTTGCAACTTTTTACCTAAAAAAGCCTCTTTTATCCTTCTTTGTGGCTTAATAGTACATCATTATATTAAACAAAACCACACATCTTTTTATCCATTCCTCAGTTGATGGGCATTTGAGTTGAAGAGCTTAACAAGCAAGTAAGATCCAAAAGGTACAATACATATTTTGAACTGAGAAGAAATTGTTCAAAAGAAAAGAGAAACTGATGGTGGAAAGGGGAAAGGAAAGAAAGAGGAAATATACACACACACACACATGCACACACACACAGCATAGTTAAGATAGTTATATAGCTAGTTTCTCAGTTCACTGAAGAGAATGATCTTTGCCAATATTGTTTGGAAATTATTTCATGTCTATGTCTTGTACACTGAGTGCTATGAAGATAACAATGTGCAATATATCAATTATTATTACTCTCTTATTAGACTGATTTGAAATTGTTTTATTGTACTTCTATTTTTTAATAAAAATACTGTTAATAAGTATACAAATATTTAAAATAATAATATAATATTACTAAGACTTGTGTTTTGATCACTTGGCTTAGAATGATTCATTGACGAATGTGAAAAATATTCTGATTTTAAGGTGAACAGTGTCCAGAATTAAAGCAAGAAATGGAAACATTGCTGTCAGAGGCCACCTATCTTATCAAAAGTCTAGAAACTGATCGAGCAGAAGCTGAACAAGCTTTAAAACAACAAAAATCGAGAAAGAAATTGATTATCATGAAAATTGACTCTTGGTCAATTTGGAAACTTCAAGAACTACCATTAGCTGTGCAGACAGGTAATAATAGGGACTTTCCTCATTGTTACTGACTTTGTTAGAAAAGCACAGAAAACCAGTTGCAGTTCTGTATCCAAAACCACCCATTTAGAGTTTCAGTATTTCACTTACAAACTAGGGCTACTTCCTGAGCTTATTCACAGCTGGGTTTGCAAATGATGGGCACTGTGTTGAGTAAATCTGAAGCTGCTGACATTGGGGTTTTTTGGAAATACTGTGGATTTATTGTACCCTTTGCTCACACAAACTTTAGCGCATATTTGTCATATGATGCTGGTGTTTGAATTACTAGAAATTGAGAAATTTATAGTAATGACCAATTAACATCTTCAGCTACATCTTGAAATGTGAAAAATTTCAAAAACTTAAGTGACAAATTGTCAACCATGTGAAACTCTTTGAAAATTCAATAGTATATTTAGCTTGAAAGGAACTTTTAGCAATGATGGAATTCTTAAATGCTTTCAAGAGTCATACTTTTGACAAATGCTTAAGAAGAAACTCCTATCTTTTAGACTGGAGAGTAAGGGACCTATGGTAAATTAGTATACAATATAAAGATATTTGATTTTTATTTTATTCTTCAATCAATGCTATCAAAACATGACTACCTGATTGAGTTTGGAATGATGCTCCTTTCTAATGTCAAAATTCAATTCAAGATTCAAATATATTGCAAGGAAGTTTTAATAAGATGCCCATATAATCTGCCATTTAAACCAAGAGATACTAGAGAGAAGAAGTGATGCTATTAACTATTGTTGTGACAACAGTCATTAACTTGTATACTCAGTCATATACCTTTGCTATAATACCCTAAGTTTTCTAAAACTGTATTCTCTAAGTGGAAGCAATTTGGGGAGACTCATTTACACCCACAAGGCATCATCTACAATTTTCCTAATTGTTCTTTCTTGATGTATTAGTAGGACAGTTAATGTAGAAGGCTGGTTTTGCTTCATTTTTGCTGGTCTATTTATATATAATGTCATATACCCCTTGTAGGACTCATTAGAGTTTCTTTACTAAGGATGTAAATAGTTAGTTTGGAATTTGTGTAAGTTGCTATTTAGGGAATTACCAAAATTAAATTAAGTTAAATTAAGATACACTTGCATACATTCTATATGACTAACAAATGCACTTTGAGTGGTTTAATAAATCCTTGTCATGGTCAGATTATTTTAGTGGTTAACTTATAAACATGTTATTAAAGATTTACATATGAATCAAAAATGTGTTATCTGCTTTCTTTTATTTAAGTGGTCAACATATACAATTAAAATTAAACTCATCATTATGTACTTTTTAATATAAACTTTGTTTGAAACATTTCTGGAGAGTCATGTTTCTGGTATCTGTAGCCTTTATACTAATATATGTGTGATACAATCATTAAACTTTATGAATTTGTTTTTAATACAGAATTATATATCTTCATTGTCTTTAAGTTCTCAGTATTTCTAGCAGATGAAACAGGAGAACCTTTTAATCTCCTTAAAGTCTTAATATTAATATTACAAATTTAGATTTTCAAATAAAATTAAGGAAACTTACTTCTTTCTAGATATCTTCTAGTTTCTCCCCTGGGAGAAACACTCTCCACCTCCCCTCACTTACATATTTTGTTTTGTAGTCCAGGAAGCTGATTCATAATAGACTACATTAAATATCTCTTTTGCGTTCTGTGTTTCTGCTGGAGTCCACTGATGACAGTCAACAGCAAGAGAACATAGGAAGATAACAGAGAAGAGTAAGGCAGGGGTATTAATAAGCTACTTTCTCCCTGCCTGGTCACTATGAGCCAACTATATCTCCCTTGAGAAAATGACAGTCCTGAGAGTATTACATGTAGCCAAATATTTAGCAAATGCATTTTCTTTCCCTGTCAAAAAAGATAAACATAAATGACTTCATTGTGAATTGGTGCCATATGATCCTATAAATTATAAAATTAGATGCATATAAACAGTATTCCTTTGTAAAATAAAAAGACATACATATTATTAACATATGAAGATACAAATAAGCTAGTTAATCAGGTCCCCATTTTCCCATAACCTTCCACGAGGACTTCTCTTTGACTATCCAATGGAAGAGGAAGAAATCACACGTCTGGTCTATGAATGGAGTTGAATGTTACGTTAGCACAGTTGGCAGAACTCTGGCTTTCGAATTCCAATATGAAAAGGGTGGAAACTACTTGTGTGGGTGGAAATTTATGCACTTCTTGAAGAAGAACAGGTGGCCCAATGTACATATAGGAAGTGGCAGAAAGGATGGCAGGAACATGCAAGGAATATAAGTGCAAGTTTGGTAAGAAGAAAAGTGATGGTGAGTGATTCTTTTCAGACAAGAGAAGGTAATTATGTCACACATAAATTCTTACCAGATAGACAAAAAGGTCTGGAAGAGACCTAATAGGATGTTAAATCTTTCCATTTTATTTCCTTTTGCACTGTTTAGTCTCATAAATTGTTCACTTATTACTGAAGTAGCTCTTCATAACAGATTATCCAACAACTCAGTAGCTGATGACAGTAATCATTTTGTTTTCCACTCAACGAGTTCATCATTCAATTTGGGGGCCTTTCTTGCTCAGATCTAATGGAGATATTCCTCAGAAAATAAAATTATCAAAACTCTATAAAAATTACAAAATAGAGACATGAAACAAAAAAAAACCTGAATTAATTATTAAAGTACATTAATAGTTTTAGACTTAAACAACTTGAGTATTGTCTTGGTTACTTTTCTTTTGTTACTAGGACAACATACTGGATGCTCTTAAAGAAGCAAAGGTTTAGTTAGCTCAAAATCTGTACAGATTTCAATCTATATTCAGGTGGGTCCAAAGCAGGTTGTCATGACAGAGCAACAACAATTCATGGCAGCAGAAGACAGCAAAACAACAAAGAAAATGGGGGAAGGCAAGCCTCCTTTCCTCCCTTACACCGTATGCAGGCTACCTTCCTAGGGTGGGTCCTCTGTCGGATGCTGACCTACATCTGCGATCTTCCAAACCAGTGTATGGAAGAAGTTAAATAAAAAGAGACAAATTGTATGATTTTTTAGAGCTCCAGGAGGGTCAAAACCCTTTAGTTGAGCTCATGACTCCAAAGGCTAAGACAAAGAGTTCTCTGGATCAGCCCACTTTTATTAGGACCAAGGACAAATGGTAGGGAAACTGAGGAAAAGCACAGGAAATGGGCAGGGCCTTGGGAGTTACTTCAAAGACTTCTTCAAGTAGTAAATTAAGCCAATATAGGGGAACCATTTTATCTCCAAGATAACATATATGGTAGGATTGAGACTCCAGGAACATGCAAGGAATGCCAGGAACAGTGAAATTCCTTTAACTGCTCTCTCTATTTAATTAATTAGTGTTGGAGCTAAAGTGTCTTTTATCTGTGGCCTTATCTTGCCCTTTGAGGAATCTCTGCCCTCGCAGGCTATTACAGCTTCAGCCAGGACCAGTGATTCACAGAGATTCACTTACTATGAATCAGCACCCATGGGCAGGCAAGGGGCGGAGGCCTGGACAGACTCACATATAAACATAGAAAGCCAATTAGAAAAATGTAAATCCTGCTCAGAGCTGCTTAGTAGTGGTCCCCAACAGTCCTCTACATCTATTTTTTAAATTATTTTTTCTTAAGACAGTTTGCTAATGTGTACTTTCTAAGGTTCCGGTCAATGTGTTTCAGTTGTCTAATTTTATGACATATATTCATATTAATTTTTGTTAACAGCATCAATAATGACATCTCTTTTAGGTCTGATTTTTCTAATTTGGCCCCTCTCTTTCTGTTTTGCTCTAGCAAAATATTAACCAATTTTTTGACCTTTTCAAAAAGTCAGTTTTTGCTCTCACTGAATTTTCTATTGTTTTTCAACTTTGATAGAGATTTTTCTTTGAGTTTCATTGTTAGTGTGCTCGAGAATAATTTACCTTGATTTACTTCTTTTTTCTGAAGTGGAAATTTTGGTTATTTTATTGATATCATTTTTCTTTTCTGGAATTGACATTTAAAAAGCTCCAAATTTTCCCTTCAGATCTGTATTATTTGCATGTTTAATATTAATGTTTTGTAAATTCATATTTATGTAATCCCAAATATTTTCTAAATTTCCTTGTGATTTACTTTTGGATCTGCTATTTACTTTTAAATTGCTGTTTAATTTGCACATATTCTAAGATTTTTCATAAATTTCTTTCTGCTTTCTAAATTAATTTTACTGTGCTAAGAAACATTCTCAATTTGTTTCCCTAATGTTAAAATAACTTATACTTTAAAATTAAATAGTTAGGAATGTTCTGTGTAGTAGAAATTAATACAGAATATATAATAAAAATAAATGCAGAAGATGTAATATAAATAAAGTGAATGGTTAAATAAAAACCTTAAATATATATCAATCTTCCTTAGCAAACTCCCCCTCACTTTGAACACAGTTATCTCAGTGGTCCTACCAGTTTTTTAATTTCTTGAAGTTCTCTATCATGAATGTCTCTTCATGGCTACATTTATGTCCTCAATCTCACCAAAGTGTTTATGGCTATTTCTGTCAAATGAGAACTTATAGGGTGTCCTCATCCACTTTATCTATCAGATCTGGCACTGTGTGAATTCTGGCTCTCCCTCATAGTCAAAATGCTCAGGAGAAGTAAATATTTGCACCAACCCAGGTCATCATAGCAGCCACAGTAGTACAACTAAAAGCCCACAGGAATAGCACATCCAAAACTCCTTCAGAAAGTGGGACGAACAGTAGAATAATGTATTCAAAGTGGTTGGGGGCATGTTTTGAGGGATTGGTGTCCCTGTGTACTTTATTGTACCAGTTTTGAAAAGATTAAATACAAACATAGCTTATTATTACACCTTGCATATTTCCCTATAATTGAGTATTTACAAATGTCATTAGGACAAGCTGATTGATAATCCTGTACAAATCTCTTAACTCTTTGTTTTAGTTACTTTTCTCATTGCCGAGAAAAAATATCAGATACCCAAAGTTAAAAGAAGAAAGTTTTTGTTTCTGTTTTTTTTTTTTTTTTTCTTTTTTCAACTCACAGATTGTAGAGGTTTCAGTTCATAGTCGCCTGGCTGCAAGGCAGAGTGACATGGCAAAGGAGCATTGCTGAGGAGAAACAGTCCATGGTGTGGCAGGGTAGGCAAAAAGGAGCAGGCAGCAGGCAGCAGCAGCAGAAGCCTTCTTTCTCTCCTTATATATCCCACCCAGACTGCAAGCCCATTGACCAATACCACTCACACACAGAGTGGAGCGTCTGTTATCTACCTCTTTTCCCCAGCATCATACCCTTAAAACACATTCGCATACCCTAGATCCAGGCACCTTCAAAACTCCCCACCTTGACCATGTGAGGTTTGGGAGAACATCTAGATATAAGTCATAGCACTTAATATTGCTTTCTTGTCTACCATTCATTGAATTGCTGGGTGTGGAAAACTTCAGTTATGAGTTCAATGTAAAATCTGAAGGAAAAAAAAAAACAGTGTTATCAAAGCATTTTTGACTACAGACTTTTTCATGTATTTTCATTTATAACAGTCATTTAAAATATGCTGACAACTTGTCAGGAAAGTACGAAATGCACTATGGACAAGATTTAAGTTCAGAATAGAAACTTTTGAAAGTAATTTGGCACTAATACTAGACTTAGACTTGAGTGAATCTTTGAAACCCTGATGTCCACAAATCCCTATTTCTATATATCTGTAGGCTAACAGAAACCAGAAATAACATCTAACACTAACCCAAAGTGGAAAGTCTAATTAAGGATCACAACGTGAAGCTCGGAATTAAAAGATCTACATAGCCAGTTCAAGTAAATTAGGGCTGAACCTGTTATCCAGATTGAACTGGAAAAAATTCATTTAAGAATAGAGAAAAACAATGTTCTCCAAGCAGTATTAATGATAATCTCAAATGGACTTGCAACTCATATTCCTGCTATCCAAATGTCTAAAACTGTTAACTAGAAAATGTTATTTAACTATTCTGTGTGTTCACAGTAATATTATGTATTTTTAAGGAGCAAAGATAAATTTTCTCTGGAAGATGAAAACTGCACACTGTGTACTAAAGAATTACCTCAAATAAAGTTCCAAGATGACGAGTAGCACAGTATCAAATATAAAATCAACAATCCAAGATTAAGGAGTGTAAACCAGTAGAAATAGTACATAGAATTTGCTCAAAAAATAATTTCAGATATTGGATTGTACATGAGATTATAAGATAAATATACTTGATATGATTCAAGAACTTAAAAAAGAGAAATTTGAAAACAAAAGCAAGGACTAAAAAACTATTCTTTAAGGAAGAAAAAAATGGGAAAAAACATTACTAGAAACAAAAAATAATGCTTTAGCTGAACAAGTCAATAGTTGCTTAAATTGTGTATACAAGACAAAATAATAGATAACTAAATTTTTTTAAATGTGCAAAATGCATACAGCAACACAGTGAATAGGCAAAATGAAGTATTTAAAAGTTAGGCCATAGAATGAGGTGGTATAATGAATGTCTAATGAAGATTATAATGGTAATTCATATTTAAAAACAGAATCTAAATGAATTGTTGTTTGGTTAGTGGAATTTACAAAGTAAGAAAGTGGTACTGGCAAACACTACACACATCCAAGAAGTTAGAGAATATTTAGAAATATATTCTTTATTATTAGAATTGTCACCAAGCATGGTGATACATGCCTGCAATCCTAGGAGGTGATACATGCCTGCAACTCAGGAGGCTGAGGCAGGAGGATCATTGCAAATTCTAGACCAGCCTGGGCTACAAAGTGAGCTCAAGGCCAGCCTGAACTGCATAGTAAGACCCTGTCTTAAGGGGCTGGGGATTTAGCTTAGTGGCATAAGTGCCTGCCTTGCAAGCAGGCAATCGTGAGTTTGTTTCCTGGTACCGATAAAAAGAAAAAAAAAAAAAAAAAAAAAAAAAGACCCTGTCTCAAAAAGACAAAAGAAAAAGAGAAGAATTGTCTTCATGTGTGAGAAAAAGCAAAATCATTCCTTAGAAACAAATCAATATCATTTTATAGCAAAAATACTTATTAATTCAAAAATTATGATTGTAGACTTTTAAAAATTGAGAGCAAAATATATACAAAAACCAGTAACAAAATTCCAAATAGTGAAAAATATTTATTATAGAAGCTACAAAAAGTTAAATGTTATCTTATTAAATAAAAGAATACTGATAGAAAATACGGAAAAGCAGTGGTAAGATAGATCAAAATGGAGATCAGTGAATCAGATTCAGATCAAAGCTGTAACATTGTGTATTAGTCAACTTTCTGAGAGCTGTTGCAAAATACCTACCACTGAAAATTTAAAGGAGGTTTATTTAGACTCATGATTTCAGAGGTTTCTGTTCACAATTGATTGTGTCCAAGGTAGGAACTCCTTGAGGGGAGGCAACAGTGGTGCAGGCTGCTCAGATCAAAGCACTCCCCAAACAGAGCACGGAGCAGAACCAGAGAGAAAGAGGGGAGGGTTCAAATACAGTAGCCAGCAGGACAGCGGCTGGCCCACAGGATTACACCCTGAAGTGTGCTCCACCCATCTCCTGGGCGATTCCCAGCCAGTCAAATTGATATAACCACAAGTCCTTCACGTTCACACACTGATTAATGGTAATGAAGAGAGTTAAAAACTTCTCAGAATATGATTGAAATTTTGATCAACTGTACAAGTTTAGAGAAAAGAATGGGTTGCTGGACAACCAAAATGTTCACATAAGCATTGACAGATTTTTAACCTAATAATTTAAAACACCTGCCTCAAAAATATAGGAAAACATGCACACATACCATGATGGTTTGTGTCTAGATGTGCCCCCAGAGCCTCCTGTGGTCATAGGTGGGATTTCGGCAGGTGGCTGGATCTGAAGTGTGATGCTGACAGTACGAAATGATGCTGGGATTGATTCGTGGTGTGATGCTAACATTATGGATTCTCCATCCTGTGTGCGGATTCTCCACCCTGGCTAAGGGTAGGCAGCTGAATACAACACAAGGGACCCAGAGAGGGCAGCAGCTGCTGCTGCTTGTCACCGCTTCCTCACTGCTTCGCTGCTTTCCTGTCTTCCCGCCTTCCGCCTGCCATGAACTGTTTCTCCTGTGCAATCACCCTCCGCCATTCCCCTGCCTTGGACTACGCTGACTATCTATGGACTGCAAACTGTGAACTGAAATAAACCTTTCCTTGTCCTCTCTTAAGTTGGCTGTTGGGTATTTTGTCTCCGTAACAACAAAAGTAACTAAGACACATGCATGTATACATTCTCAAGAAAGAGGTCTATGCATATTTTCAGACATCTACAAAATCCCAGGAAAAGAAATTTTAAAATATGAATACTGATACTAGAAACTAGCATAAATTATAAACGAAATATAGTTGGAAATAATAAAAACATGAAAAAGGCTTAAGTCATGAATATTAAATATAAGAAAAATTCTAAGAGATGACATTGGTAAACGCTTTTAAGAAATTTAAAAAAGATTTTAAAATCCTCCAGGTCATCTAGTTTTATTCCAAGAATGGATTAAAGAATAGTTGCAAAGTTAGTATAATGAAATCTTTTTATCTAATTTGCCTGAACTTCTCTTAGCTAATAGGGGAACTTTTATTAAATTTTAAAGTAAAGTGTAACTGAAGGAAATGTCTCAGTTCAAAACTTTAAACATTTGTAGAAGGAAAAATAGTATTTTTCATATATGCAAATTTTTGGTGAATTTTGACAAAAGTTTGTTATTTTCTTCCTATAGGCCCTTCCCAGTTCATGTTAGGGTTGTTAATAGATTTGTTCAACTTATTATGTTTTGTAGTTGTGAGGTTATTTTGTTTTTAAACTAGCCCTTATCTAAACATTTATTTTGTCTATTAACTTGAGGTTATTTTGTTTTTAAGCATCCTCATGTAAACATTTATGTTGTATATTAACTTTACTTGAACAATCCTGTCATTTGTAATAATGTTCATTTTTGTATGTTTTGTCATATAATTGTGTCGCTAATAAGCAATAATCATTTTTGCCTTTTCATTCTCATATTTGTAATTCCTATTTCATCATTTTACTGTCCAGTAATTTTGAAAGGCCTCTAGCCATTTTTATAATTTTGGAGTACTTTTATAATTTTGGAATACCAAAGATCTGTGCATCTATTGGTCATAATAAGTGAGATTTATACTAAAACTATTATTAATTTATAAAACATATTCTAATGCTTTTGGCAATGAATGAAGAAACCTATACATTTTTATAATGCAGGATTAAAATAACCCTTACTTTAAGTTTAGCAAAATTCACAGATATGTAATTTCTGAAACCAAAATAGCTCAAATGTATTATCGCCGACATTTTTTCCCTTGAGCTGATTTTCTTTTGTTCATATCATTCCCCCTCTAGAACACGAAGCCTATTTGAGAGATATTATAGAATTAAGGTCTCATCTGAAAGACAGAAATCAGCAGTTAGAACATTTGGAGGAACAAAGGAAAAAGCTGGAAGAAGCCAACGCAAAGGTTCAGGCAGACATAGACTTCATGCAGGGTCACACTGCTCTGCTGGACTCAAAGCGCAGGCAGGAAGAGGAAGCTCTGCAGGAGTGTCACCAAAGGAAAATCGAGGTGATGAATTCAGGGCCGGATGTGCTTGTTACCAAGTATTATTTATGCAACAATACACTACAGCCACAAAAAAATCACATATCGTCCAAGCTTTCATTTTACTCAAAATCAAGCTGCCATTTATTTCTGAGAATTTACTAACCTATATCCACACAATCTATTGGTATTCATTTTAACTGTATCTTCTTCATGTGCCTTTCTACCTAAGGAGAATTAATAATGCTTATAGTCAGTCTACCTGAGTCTTCTAAGAAATTGTTTGTGGATTCAGAGCACCTGGTTTTCAGAGTCATAGTTGAGTAAAGAATAGATATCAGTAATTTCATTGTTGTTCAAAATACATCAGTGAAATAATCTTTTTTGGTGCTTATCATTTATTTCTCCTATTGGGAGAATCATAAAATAGAAAAGTAATATAATTATACCTGTATACAAAGAACAAATTTAAATTTCTATCATATTTATGTTTGGTCATTTTAAAGTAAATGAAACAGTTGTGCAATGTCTTTTGTGTTCATTTTTACATTTCCATTTTCCTCTTTCCTTCAGCAAAAGTAGCCACTATCAGATGGGATTTGGTGTGCGCAGGGCGGTATGATTGTAGACAATAGTCGTTATCAGAAACTTCATATTTCTAACAAAACTGAATACTTTTATGCACACATGTGTTTAGAAACAGTGCATATTATTTTTAAAATTTTAAAAACTATCATACATTGTGTAACTGCACTGGTTTTATAATCTATTTATTTTAACCAAGCTGCTATTAATAACTGTAGACCTCGTTTATTTATTTACTTGTCATTTCCATTAAGCAGATCTCTCACAAATTATTATTTACCATTTTACCCCTTTTGGACATCTCCTTTGTTTCCAATATTTGGCAACAAAGCCACAGTTTTGTTGCCAAATACTCACCCATAAATAACATTCTTTCTATGAGCATGTGAATTTGTCTTATCTATGTATTAGCTAGTAGGATATTAACAGAGTTGTGGGTCATGTATAATTTCAATTTTATTAGATAAATTGCTACACTGGCAATTTATTTTGCTAGAGTAGTGGCAGGGGTGGAGACTTCTCATTTTCCACTCTGGACAAGAGGGCAAACCCTTCTTAAATAACAAATTTATACATAGTTGGAAGGCAAAGCAAGAGGGCAAAAGTTATACACCACTTTTCCTTTCTCCACTGTCTTTCTAATAAGATGTAGATAGGAATTATAAGATTGATTTCTGGGAAATTTCTTAGAGATAGGCCAATTGATTAAAAAGAAGGACACTTTACAGCTTCCTAGCAACCTGGCTATAATGACTGCAGTTCTAATTTATACCATGTATCATGAAGCCAATTTAGAATCAAAAAAGAACATCAAGAGTAGACTTGCATCCCTTTCTATGAGAGAAAAGTAAATTGAAATCTTAAACAATGTATGGCTTATTTATGACACTTCTAGATGAATCTATCATAATACACCTCATAATTTCATTAACATTATTATTTTTTATACTTTAAAGATTTGTCCCTATTGGCTTAAATTACTAATTTAAACTACTTGCTGGTTTAGAATGCTTTTCTGATTTCTGTAAATTTGGATTTGGCTGTGTAGACAGAGAAGCCGAGCTGTCAGGTAGTTGGCAACTAGGTTTGGGAATGGGAAAAAGAAACAAAATTCACTCAGACAGACACACAGCCTGGCAAGGTCACTCTGAGGGTTAAATTAATTTGTCCACTTTTGGGGCCACAGTATCCAAAGAGTTATATTTGATCCAACATCATTCTGGATCTCTCAGTAAAGATGGAATCTATATATAATATTAACACGAATTCAGTAGATTTAGAGTGAGGTTGATAACCCTTCATGAGGTTGGTAGGCCTCATCCATATAGCCGAAGGTCTTAACATAATAAAGACTGCTCTCTAAGCAAAAAGGAATTCCATTAGCACACTATTATTGGACTTGAACTGCAAATTTCCCATGGGTCTCCAGCAAGTCAGTCTACTCTGTAGATTTTGTACTTGTTCCTCTATAATCATATGAGAAACTCCCTCAAGATAAATCCTTCGCCTTCTGTTTGTCTCTGTTTTCCTCTTGTTTCTGTTTATTCAAAATCCTAACTAATACAAGTAACATCGATGTAATAGCTGCACCTCTAGCATTTCCACATCACTGTGCACCCACAGCATCTTAAATTGCTGGGCTGGAGCCTCTATTTATCTGGGCTTAATTCAGCCTGCCGCTTTCTAGCTATTCCAGGGGTCAGAGTGAGTGAGACACTGGCCCTCATGGATTCTGTGATGGGAGCCAGGAACTGAGATAAGAAATTACCTACCGTGGTATATAATCAAGGGAAAGTAATTCCCATAACACAGCTGAGGTACTATTAAGAAAGACTACAAATAGTGTACAGCCAAAATGTGAAAACCTTTTGCAATAAGGTGGAAGAAAGCATTTTTTTTGTTACAAAATGAGCATAACTGACAAATTTCAAAAATGAAAAGCAGATTTAAGAACACTGAGGTGACTAAATACCTCCTCAGAGAGACATAATAGTACTTACAGAGATACTGTAGGAAGGTTCGACAGAATAGTATTCCAGAGGACAGGGCTGGCACATGAGTCCTTGTGTACAAATGCCAGCTGATTCAGATTTTAGGCTCTCTTTTTAAACCTATGCACCTGTTTCTTTATTTATAAAATGATTATAATAAAACTGTCATAATTTTAGTGTATGAACGAATTAGATAAAAGAAATTGAAAACAAACCATACCAAAAATTATAGGAAGTAATGTTCAAAGGGAAATTCTTAGCTGTAAACATTTGCATTTAAAGATCTCATATCAATAATGTAACTATACATAGCATGAAATCAGACAGTGAGGAGAATGCTGAGTTAAAAGCAGGAGAAAGGGCCTGGTAAAGATCAGAGTGAAAATACAGCCGAGGCACAGCCTAACAGCTGATTGTTGCAGTGGATCATGGGTACACCATGAAGCCTGGCCTATCACGTTCCATATTTTCCTCAGGGACAAATCCCAGACAAGGAGGGACTGCTCATATATGTAGCCTGCTGAAATTACTCAAATTATCTATTCCACAGAAAGTCCCTAAAACATAGGTAAATCCACTCACATGCTACACCTGTGCTGTCCTCTATAGGAAGATCATGCTATTAATCTGTCCACAGTAAAACTCAGTGTGGTGCCCCTGCCTGGCAAGAATCTGTCATTTAGATCTGTAAGTGACCAAGATTTCTACCTTTTACATATCCTAGGATTATTTTATGTACACTGATTCCAAAGCAATCTTTTAACTTTTAGAAACAGGAAAAGGAGAAGAAAGAATAACTGTTTATGGGTTGGAGTTTCTCTTCAGGGTCATAAATATGAGACCAAAATATGGTAATAAAATTCAGAGAAAGTATTGAATGCCACTGAAGTGCGTACTTTAGTGGAATTCATATTATGCTGAGTTTTACTTCAAATAAAAACAAAGTAAATGAAAAAGCATATTTTGAAAAGACATGTTTAAAAGATCAGTATTCTTGCTACGGCCACATTTAAATGTCCTTGATTGGAGGTCAGATCATTGAAGTGTGACCCAGAAAGATGTTCCATCCTACGCTCCTTTTTTCCTCTGTTTCCTAGCTGCCATGTGTTGAGCATATTTTCTCTGCCACACATTTTATTCCCTGGAGTAAGCTGCCCATGGACTGACCCTACGGGAGAACGTGAGCCAAATTAAGTTGTGGTGTAAGGTATTTTGTCCCAGAGATGGAAAAATGAATAATATGATCTCATTTAATTAATAAAAAAATATATAATGTGAAAGTAATATGTGCCAGGTAAGAGGATAGACAGGGATACATAAAGAAGAATGGATAAAGATAGTATAATGTTTTTTCATGTTTATTAACTAACATGGGCAGTAAATTTAAACATTTTGGGCCATTAACATAGTGTGAGGGTTTGTGGTACTTGGTTGAAGGCATTAGTTTAAGTTTTGTACACAATTAAAAACAAGTGATTGTTTCTAGTTTTGCTGTTCTCTTGTTTACATGTTATATGTTATTTTCACAATAAAAACGACAAAGAAACAGCTTTTCGTTATGTGAAAAAATAATAATTTTACTTTGAACCTCTTAATTTGGGTATTCAGGAATATGCCTAGCACTGATATTTCTCAGTGTGTGAAAGCCTACTAGAGAAGCAATAGCCGAGCTATGGGAAGAAATGTGTGTATAGAACTTTTCTCCAAGTTACAAGTACCCTAACTTAAAATATTTCCTTTTAGTTAACATTTAAGTGCAAGTATCAGCAAAAATATTCTTGTTTCCAGGTAATGAATGCATTCAGACAAATTCATGAAGAACTTGAACAAATTACAAAAGACTGTGCTAATGCCGATTGGAAGATTCAAAAAAACATAGAAGAAATGAAGAAAGATATTCGTATGGATGAACTAAGCCTAGAAATATTTAAGTAAGAATTTTTTACAAATGTTATTTATAGACTTTAAGAATAAAATTTTAATTAATAGTGTAACACATCTTACTACTTGAAGAATTTTGGATCAAACAATGATAAAGAATTTAAATTACCCATATTTATCTTATCACCAAGTTTATGTAAAGATTAAAATGTATGAATTTATGTAAGTAAATTTATATTGATTCCTAAAACTGTATTTTTGTATCATCTTAAAGTTTTTAATTTATATTGTCAAAATGTCTAGGACTACAATATAAGAAAAATGTATACATATGCTGTTTATCTCCAAACTGATAACTCTACTTTAAAAAATGGAGTTATTTTTATACATGAGCATATATCTACGCATTAATTGAAAGTAGCATTTAATTATTTAACGTAAGTCTATTTGCTTACTAATAAAATAGAATATATCTTATTTGCTCATGTTTGTTTCTTGATGTATTTTCTTTATTCCTATTTTTGTTAATTCTTCTACTCATTTTTATTTTTTATACTATGTAAATTCATATTGTGGTGGTCTTCTGAAAATATGTCTTTCAATAGTTCTACTGGAAGGATTAATACAGTCACAAAATAACATATTAAGTATAATTATATATTTCACTAACAGCATTTTTAATTTTTAAAGAATTAAAATATACACAAAAATGATCAAGAGTGCTAATATTTAAGCATACAAGTTGGTAAATTTTTCAATATGTGCATTCATATGCAAGCAAGACCTAGATTAACATACAGAAATATTCAAGTTCACTGGAACTTTTTCTTACTCTCCCTCCTATTCTATATTGTTCTCCATCTTTATTCCTAAAGGTAATAAGCATTCTAATTTCTATTGCTGGAGATCAGTTTTTCCTGCTCTGGAATTTTGTTTAAAAGGAAATGGACAGCATACATACCTTGATATCTGTCTTTTCATTCACCATTGTTTATTATATTTACTCACCTATTTTTTTTTGTTTTTTTCTTCAAATCACATTTTATTGTTACACTTTAGACATGCGTAATGATGGCATTCATCATGGAGAATTTGTATCTGTATTGTTCTGTATTCATTACCATGAAATATTCTACAGTATAAACATAGTGTAATTTTTATTTATTTTTGTATGATGGACATATATGGTGGACATTTTCTCTTTATGATTTTTATGAATAAACTTATGGATGTTCTGGAAACTTGCTTTTCTGTGGAAATAAGAGCTAATTTCTCCTGGGAATATACTAGGAATGGGATTGTACTAGAATACTAGTTGAGGCAAATGTTTTGCTTAAGAGGCAACTGCCTAGTCTCTTTCTGAAGTATCTGCACTGTTTCACAGTACACATTTCACAGTACTGTGTCCCTGATTACTGTTGCAATCAGTAATCTATGGCAGCCCCAGCTTCTCCACAAGCTCAGCAGCGCTTCATAGTATCAACTCCCCAAGACTTCAGCCCCTGGTTGGCTGGGCAGTAATTTCTCATTAGTGTTTTAAGTTGCATTTATCAGAAAGGTAATGATGTCAAACTCCTTCGTGTGGTTTATTTGCCATCTGGATGTCCCTTGCATGACAAGCCATAAAAATGTATGTCCTTACTTGTTTTAATCTATTTCTTTTCTTTTGAATTTGAAAGAGGTCTCAAAATACTTTTAATAACTGTCCTCTCTTAGCTATATGAGTAAGTATCTTTTCCAATTCTGTACTTTGATCTTTCATTCTAGCCATCATGTTCTTGTCTGGTAGAACATTTATTAATTTTAATAATGTCAAATTTATCATTTTTTTCTCATAATGCATTTTCTAGAATTTTAAGGAAAACTTTTCTCAACATTACAAAATAGTATAATGTTTTCACACCTACTTATTACCCATTAATGTTTAATTTTTTGAGGTCTAGCTCTATAAAAATATTTCCAATTCTTACTTCAGGATATGTGCATTTATATGCAGTTTTATCTAATATATACAGTTGCTAATCATTCATACAATCAAGATACAGAACAGTTTTATTCCTCGTGCTGTTCTTTTATTTGTCCTCCCTGCCCATTCTTTGTCTCCTGACAACTAATCCTCTCTCCATCATCACAGTTTTGTCCTTTTGAGAATATTATATAGATGAGTTCACACAGCATGTAACCTTTTGATTTTGGCCTTTTTAATTACATACAATGTGATACAGATGAGTTTGGCTTGCTGGGTATATAAATAATTCATTTCTGTCTTATTAATGAGTAAGATTCATTTTAGGGATAGGTAGGAGTTTGTTTAACCAGTTGCCCTTTAAGATACGTTTATTTTGTCTCAAGTTTTTTGCGTTTGTTAGTAAAACTGCTACAGACATTAATGGACAAGTTTTTGTATGAGCATGAGTTTTCATTTCTCTGGTATAACCATCTGAGAGAGATATGGGTTGCTGTAACTGAGATATGGGTTGTTTTAGCTGAAATATGGGTTGTAGCCAGGGGTTTACGAGGGAAACAATTTAATACAGGATGTGTAATTTTTAAAATTATTTTACAATAGTCACCCAATAATTCAAATACAAAAGTGTAGGAAATCTTTCCACACAATAAAGACTACATGGAATCCAGCTGAGGGTCTGGATCACATGACAATATCCTGCAGGAGTCCAGCGGAAGATCTACAGTCCATCACAGTGTTTCATGGAAGTCTATTTTGTGGATCCGCACTGAAAAGTCCCGAAGATCAGTAGTGGAAGCCAGAAAGCCTGTGCCAGCGGCATGAAGGATCTGCACTGGATCCAGGAAGCGATGCTCAAAGTAAGAACCAGAGCACCCCCCTAAAAAGTACCACAGCCATGCTCAGTGACAATAAGATCCTGAGGTCCCCCAACTATGAATGAAAACAGCCGAGTTCATGTCAGGAAGCCAGAGTGACAAGCTTCTGCAGATTGAACAGTACACCATCTTCCTCTCTGAAGCTAGGAACTGGTAAAGACCAGAGCTCCCCCAAAGTGGACCACAGCCACTATCAGTGACAAGATCCTGAGCTCCTCTGATGATGAGAACAGCCAGGTTCGTATCAGGAAGGATGTTCTGCAAGCTCCTCCAGGAGAACCTACAGCAACAAGGTAACCAACACTCCCCAGGAGAACCGAGAACACCTCTTCCTCTCTCCTGCAGCACTTCTCCCTTCATGTTGGCAGTAATCCTAGGTGGGCTCCACATCCAGCGCAACGCTGATTCAGTTCAGCTGGTTGTTAACAAGTTGCCCACAAGCTACAAATCCACCGTATGTGTTAAGTGTAAAGTTAGTTTCATGAGAAACTGTCAGACTTTTCTGGAGACTCTACACCATCTTGCACTCTCACTACAGTGTGTGAAATGTGCAGTTTCTCCACAGTGGATCATGTGACTTTTCATAATTGCATTCTTTCTTTTGTGAAGTATCTGTTCAAGGAGTTTCCCATTTTCTAATTAAATGGCTAATTTTCATGATTATATCAAGTATGTAATTAAAATATTTTATGTTTTATAAAATTTATCTTTTCATATCAATCAGAGTATTTTGCAGGGAAAAAGTTTTGAATTTTGATAAAATTTAGTTTGTCAGTTCTTTCCTTAATGCATTATGGATGTAAGGTCATGTGTAAGACCTTTTGCCCTCTATTAAGTCACCTTATTTTTTTTTCTTAAAATACTAGTTTTGTATTTAAGTAAATGGATAATTTTTAAACTGTGTATAACATGTGACAATTAGAAGTTCTTGGTATTTTTTATTTTGTCTGTGCCTATACAATTGTTCCAATGCCATTTATTAAATTGCTTTTGTAAATGTGTCATATCATAGAGGCATATTTGTGTGTATCTGTTTCTAGGTTCTTTATTCTGTTTCATTGATCTGTTGTCGGTTACTTTCCCAATACAACCTTGTCTTGATTACTGTGTTATGTAATCATGGTTAACAAAAGATAAGAAGCTTCCTTCCCCTTTTATTCTTCTAATTTTGTTCTTATTTAGTAGACATGAGAATGAATGACACAATTTAGACTACCAGTAGAGCCAGAATCATAGCAAATGTTTACTGTGAGAAATTCTCAAAAGACTGAGGAACTGATGGCATGAACTTCATACGGAGATACGAATAGAGGAATCAAGAAAGCAGATTCACTGTGTGTTAGGCAGCTGTCCATCTTTCAGGCAAAAGTCTATGCTTCATTCTCAGGTCATTGAGAGAAGAAAAAGTCATTTCACAGAAGGCAACTCAGCCAAGCTTATTTATAAATCTCCACTGCTGACGCTCGGCACTTCTCATTGCCTACCTGTCTGCTGGAGTTCTGATAGGTAAACCCATGCTTCCTAGACAGGCAAGGGTCAGGAATCTTATTCTCACCCATTTGCATTTCTGCGGAAGATTGTCTTTCAGCTGTAGTGGATCCCACCTTAACCATGATTGATATCTGAGAATCTGCACCAATTCAATAACCACATCATATATTGCTTGGGAACTGGTATGTATTTTCTCCTGAATTTCTAGGAGACGTTTTGTTTTTTGGTGTCAACTAGATAATTTTCTTTTTTTGATTTTGAAGAGGAAAAAATAAAACAAAATTCCAAAACATGTATTACTGCAGTATGATGTTTTTAGTTCTTCAAGGACAATACCAAAAAGGGGAATAACTGGGTCAAATGAGACTGCTACTCATAGTTTTTTGAGGAATCGCTACACTGATTTCCACATGGATCAAAGCTCTAAATATTAAAACAGAAATACTCAATCTACTGGAATAGAAGTTAGGTAAAACTCTTGAAGCCATAGGTGTAAGTAGCGAGTTCACAAAGAGAAGCCAGATTGCGTGGGAATTCAAACAATCAAAAACTGGGATCTTATATTATAAAAAAGTTTTTGCACAGCAAAAGAAAGCTGCAACCAAGTGAAAAGGCAACCCACAAAGCATGAAAATGTCTCGCCAATTGTCCGCCAGACAAAAGAACCTATAAAGAATTAAAAAAAGTCAGACTCCCCAAGTCAAATGCTACTGGGGTTTTTTTTTCTCACTATGAATATCTAAGGGTTACTTTTCTACCAATAGGAAATTGCTATGGAATTCCACAATTGTCAGAAGCAAATGTAAACATGCATTACCATTTATTCAATATGGGTGAAATCAAATGTGTTTTTCTCCTAGGAAAGAGGTTGGTAAACTGAATAATCTGCGTACTCACTACTGTTCAAAAATAGAAGATGTTAAAACAAGTATTGAGGAGAGTGAAGAAACAGTGAACGAAGTACTAAGAGAAGCAAAAACATCAACAAAAGAAGTATCTGTTTTATCAAAAACAGTGAGTTTTTCATATTTAAAGATTAAAATGAGTGATTTTAGTTTTCATCTATGAGTAGGAAATTTTATGTTAGTAATTAAATAGAACTTAGTCAAATTTATGCCTCTATTAGTTTTCTATGGCTGCATAACAAATTTCACAAAGTTAGCAGCTTAACATAACATTCATTTCCTATTTAAATATTTCCCTTTCAGATGTCTGGACAACACATGATTCAATTGGCTTCTCTGTTCCAGGGCTGTTAGAATAAAACCAAGTTGCCAACATCCCTGCGTTTCTTCCTAGGGATGCTAGCTTTCAAGCTCTTTCCCTTTTGACCAGCTTCAATTCCTGTAGGTTTGTAAATGAGGAGCTTGCTTCTCTGATGATTGTCAGTCTGAAATCTCTGGTCTCTGGTCTGGAGGCTGCCTGCAGTATGACTGGTAGACCGCTGCTTGCACAAAATCAGCTCTAGTATGCTGAGTCCTTCTCACACTTGGAACCACTCTGGCCTTCACTATGATTTTATCTGTCCTGAAGTTTTATTCTGCATATCTCATTCATTATATTAAAGAAAAATAAAATACGTAAGATGATAAATATATAAAATATACTAAAGGACACATTATACAGTTCTCTGACTATTTACATTCCTACCTAGAATTAAGAAGACCTTTTGTCACTTTCTCTCATTAAGATCTTTAGTTATTTCTCTGTATAGTTTATTATTCTATAATTATTAATTGGAGTAGAATGCATTAATGACTTTGGGAGTCATATAGATATATTTTTACACACAATAAAAATATGCTCATGATTTTGCTCCATATTTTGACTTCTTTTCTCTACTGATTTTTAATAATTTGTTGACCATGATAGACACCAGATATTTTACTTAACATATGTTAAAACTGCTTCAATGTATTGTCTTACATTTCTTTATAATAAATTCTCTTTTATTGGTATATGTTTGTGGTACATAATGAATAGATTCATTATGGAAAATTGGTTCATAATACATATCACACTTAATCCACTTTAAGTTCACCTTGTCCTCCTTTTTATCCCTCTTATCTCTAGAACTCCTTTCCATCTCCACAAAGTCTAATTTTCCTTTTTCATATCTTCTATCTTTACTTAGTATTTGGTACTTTAAATTGTGCATACTTTGGATTGTTTGTATAAAAAATATCATGCAATATTAGATCATGTGTATTAGATCATGTGTTTCTATCCTTAGCACCATGGTCTCAAAGTGCTTCCATTGTTATACAAATGGTTCACATTTTTTTTTCCTTTTTGGGAGGTGAGGTAGTACTCTATTGTGTCTATATACTACAAGTTTAAAATTCATCCATCTGTTGATGTGTATAGGACCCTTCCAGAATTTGGCTATTGTGAATTGCAATGCAATAAATATGACTGTGCATATATCACTGTAGTATAAAGTCTTCAATCCTTTGGGGAAGATACCTATAAAAGGTTAAAACTGAGTTGCCAGCTTGGCCATGATGTATGATATTTTTAATGATTTGTGGCATTGTTTGCCAGGGTATTAAAGATTTTGCATCTACATTCTTTAAGGAGATTGACCTGTAATTTTGATTTTTTTCTGTAGGGGAGGTTGTTTTATTTATTTTTTTTTTCCTTGTCCAATTTTGGTATCAAGGAAATACTTGCTTCCATGAGTGAGCTTAGCAGGGCTCCTTCCCACCAATTTAATGGAACAGTTTGAGAGCTGGTGCTAGGTATTGCTTGCAATTCTGGTGGAATTATGCAGTTAATCCATCTGACCTCAAATTTTTCTAGTTGATAGTTTTTATTACTGCTTCTGTTTCATTGCCTATTGTTAGTTTCTTCAGAGTTTTCATATCTCCTTGAGTTAATTTTGGTAGTTCATATGTGTCTAGGAATTTCTACATTTCTTCTAGGCTCTCCTCAGGATTTCAGTGAAATCTATACTAACTTTACATTTTCTGTTTCTAAATGCAATGATATGGCATCTCTCCCCGTTTTTGGTAAGTTTGGCTAAAGCTTTTTCAATATTTATCCTTTCAAAGAACCAGCTCTGATTCATTGATCTTTGTAGTTTTGTCCCTCACTTTTGTTAATTTCTTCTCAGATCCTTATAATTTCACTCCTACTGCTCGTTTCACATTTAGATTGTCCTTATTTATCTAGGAAATGTAAATGCATCATTAGGTTATTTTAGACTGGTATATTCATTTAATGTATTTTTTCACAGCTATAAATTTCCTTTATAGGACTGTCGTCTTATGTAGCATTGCTTTTGTATTTTGTGCTTCCTTGTCATTTTATTCTAGGAAAAAAATGTTATTTTATTCCTGATTCCTTTGTAATTTCTTTCCTGATTCCTTCACACTGATTATTCAGTAACACAGCATTTAATCTCTATGTTTTTTTCTGTAGTATCTTGGCTTTCTTTTGCTGTTGATTTATAACTGCTTTACACTGTGGTCTAATAGAATACATGAGATTTTTAATTTTTGTTTTTAAGTATGCTTTATGGCCTAAAATATGGCCAATTTTGGAAAGATTCCATCTGTTCTTGAAAATAATATGTATTCTGTTGTAGGATGAACACTCTATAGATATATATTAAATCTGTTTTTTCAATGGTGTTATTTAATATTTATTTTGTTACTTTTATCTTTTGACACCTATCATTTATTGGTATCTATTATCTTATTTTCAGTAGATTTTAGGAATTTGTGTATGTCAACAGTTGGTTGACAGTTTTAGTATTGTAATCTCTTCATGTTGAATTTTTCCATTCACCATTGTGTTGTACCCAACTTTGTCTCTTCTAAAAATTTTGAATTAAAGCTTGCTGCAGCTAAAAATAAACAGTTACTCCTGTTTGCTTTGGGGTTCCAATTCCATGGAGTACCGTTCCACATCCTTTCCTTTTCAGTCTATATGCATCCTCTTGGATGAGGTATGTCTCTTGTAAGGGAACATATGATTGAACTGTTTAACTAACATTGCAGTCTGTATCTTTGATGGAATATTTAGACCATTGGCAATGAGAAATATTGTAAGGTATTTATTGAATCCTATCACTATACTATTTTTCTAGTGCTCATTTCTTTCTCTTTTTTGTTATTTTGTTTGTTTATTTACTCCTCTGGTTAAATGTGCAGTTTCTTTGGACTTTTTCTTCCTGGCGATCCTACCTATCTTTGTTCCATTTCCTTTTAAGTATTTTCTGCATTGCTAATTTAATGATCATGTATCTCTTGAGGATTTCTTTGCCACGAAAAGTCTGTTTCTTTGCTAGTTTTGAAGGTTAATTTTCCTGTATGTGAAACTATAAGTTAAAAGTTGTTTTGTCTTAGAGCTTGAAAAACTGCTTCAAGCTTTTCTGACTTTTAATATTTGTGCAAAGAAATCCAGTGATATTCTGTTAGGATTGCCTTTATAGGTACTTGCTATTTTTCTCTAGTAGCTTTCAATATTCTCTCTTTTTGTTGAATTTCTGAAATTTTAATTATGATATGTCATGGAGTGGTTATTTTTGGTCAAGGTTATGCAGGGTTTAATATGTCTTTTGTACTTGGATATTAAATTCTTGCCATAGATATGGAAAATTTTCTACTATGATTTCAGTAAGCAAATCATAATATATCTTCTGAGGAGTCTCGGGTTTTCCATTATTCCTGAAATTATGAGTTGTTGCTTTTGTCATTGTCGTTGTGAATCACCTAGTAGCTCTTGGGTAAAGCTTGCACCATGTTTTCTTGTTTTGAGGGCATCACTGAGAACATCATCTAATATCACCATTTTGTCTTCAGTTTCTGACACTCTCCCCTCACGTTGGTCAAATTACCTTCCCAGTTTCTACTGAATTTTTCATATCTTGTGTATCTGCTCTCCTTTCATAACTTTTCGTTTTAAATGTAGAGAAATGATTAACACCATTCTTTGAGCCTTTTACTTTCTTAAATTTGTGGAAGAAATTTTTCATACCCTAAAGACATAAAAACACTCTTATTTCATATGCATTTGTTTTCTGCTCTTGTACATTTCATGTTTCTACCAGATGAAACTATATTTACAAAGATCAAAATTGAGGGATTTTCTTTCACCCATCATTCTTTATTTCTTATTTTAAAGATAGTAAAACCCAACAAAACAAGACAGAACAAAGCCAATCAGAACAATGCAGCAAAATTGTTATAGATCTTTAAAATAGGAGACCAAGAAAACAGTAATACGTACCATAGTATATCTTGTTATCTTCACAATAGTTGTCCATTCAATCAGGTATTGCAAAATCAAACCAAAAACAAAACACTATAAAACCAATCAAAACAGAATATTGAATAAAGCAAAACAATTAATCCGAACAAAACAAAATAGTGAAAACAATACTGAAATTTTAGGACAAAGTAGTATAATCCTCCATATTTGCTATATTGCTTACTGTCATCCTCACAAGAGATGCTCAGACTTCTGGCCCCAGGCCTGCATAATCAATCAAGCAGTATAAGCATTTAGTTGCTTTATGTACCTTTGTTGTTATCAACTCAAACTGTTCTCAAAAGCATCTGCTTGCTTAGGCTCATGGGAGGTGCTGTCTTTTCCCTCCCTGGAATGTGCATGATTTGCACAGCTTATCAGGAAAGCTGGCTAGTTGATTTCTTGGCTGATCCCCCAAGTCCCAGCACCCCCCATCATTCTTTTACTTACAAGTTTTGTGGTAGCAAAAGTGAAATATGAAAATATAAAGTTCAGATACAAGTATGCAAAATGAGGCTCCAATTCATACTTTTCTAATGTATAAAAGATACTCTAACAATACAATTTATTTATATAGACAGATCTATGTATATAGAAATTGACAGTTCTGTCATATATGTATGTTGATAACTCTATCTCTCATCTCAGACTTCCATATTTGTATGAATTTCTTTTTCTACTCACTTATTTATGAATCTGTTGAGTAATACTCAACACCCATAAAGAGTTTTGATTATCTACCTTAAACTTTAATATTA